TTGGATCACCATATTCACCTCAGTTTTTGAGAAGTGGCGCACTAAAGGGCAAGCAGTGCCCACAACTGTAATGGCACTCGAAATCAAATTGGTCCGATATACATTTTTTGAAGTCTGTGATCTCCCACGACATTTACGTGGCATATAACCCTTACGAAAGTCTCAACTTTACTTTGTCTCCACTCCCCAGGGCGACCCTCTTCACGTGGGCCCTCAATGATTTGAAAGAATTGAAGAGCGTTGGAAACCACAAAATCAGTTTTCAATTACTTCATAATCTATTTGGCATTTCTTGACTGATACAAAGTAATCAAGAGCAAGTCTTCAGGATTCTGGAGTTTCCCTAGGCTTCGGGAAGCTGTGGAAGGCTCTGTGTCACACCAACACTAGGATGAGCCAACTCCGGGGACTCCTTGATAAAAAGGCCGCACTTGAAACTCAATTGAAGGAGAAAAAGGAGGACGAGTTCGTTACAGCGGCCTTTCCGCGCTTGATAAACATTTTCGTTGGAGGTCATTTACAGATTTAGTTGGAATGGTGGAAGTAGGATCAGGGGAAGGATGAAGGTTTTCAAATCCTAGTTAAGAGATTCCCTGAACTCTTTGCTCACACGGACCGGTCAAACATAGCGCTCAAAGAGAATCGCGCTAAATAACGACAAATACCTTCTCTCCTTTGGTTCCTGGACAAATGCATGGTGGTGCACATCCCTTGCAGGCAGCTGCGTCGACGAATCTAAACAAATCATTGAGTCCTTCGGAGACTTAATATTGATTCGTATCGAGATAGCATCTGTCGAGATACTTCGGGTGAACTACTTCCAGTGATTCGGGGAAAATATCACAGATATGTTTTTGAAATATGATCTGAAAATGATCAACAAGGCATTGAGAAGTAATATATTGGATAGTCTGAAAAGTCCCTTCTGATTTTCAAGACCAACTAAAAATAGAAATTTCTGGAGCAGCTATTCAGTGATCATGAGTAGTTGAATTCGATGATTCGAGCCTTTCCGCTGTTAAACAAATCGTACCGTGAAGTTATCGCCGGCGCTATCGCAAAATAGGGGGCATCCTCTAGGACTAAGCCCAGAAGGGGACAGTAACGTCGTGGGCGTGAAAATTTTTTCTCTCGCAATCTAGAGCCTTTTCTTCTCCACCTGAGGCTTAGTCCCATTCGACAGGTGGACTGCTTTCGTAATAACTTCG